ATCTACCACCTTTCAAGTCAGACTGGAGGCTACAATCACAGTGCAGTGTAAGAATGAAGGTACTAATCTTCCTCAGATCCAAGCATGCCCTTCTCTTCCATCAAGGCTGATTTCACTCGAGTCTCTTTGAAAGGGCCCCTTGGCAGTTTGAAGATTCAACACAGAAAACTCTGCTTCTGCTTAGGCAGCAACTTAACCAAAACATCAACAAATATACAGTGGAAAAAGTCATTTCTTCACTTTTAATCTTTTACAAATTCTCACTTACAGTCGCTGAACTCCCAGGTATTGTGGTCTTTGAAGTAATTTCCAAGAGGAGATAGAATTAAACATAATGAAATGCAAATATGGATTTTTTAATAAAAAAAATTTTTTTTGCTGGGGGGGGTGGTACCATGGATTGAACCCAAGGGCACCTGACCAACTGAGCCACATCCCCAGCCCCTTTTTATTTTTTTTATTTTGAGACAGGGTCTCACTAAGTTGCTGAGGCTGGCTTTGAACTTTCGATCCTCCTACCTCAGCCTTAGAAAACAACTTTGTAAATCTCAGTGTTGGCAACTGTGTTAGTTTGCAAGGGCTGCTGTTAACAGCATGCCACAGACTAAGTGGCTTAAACAACAGAAATTTATTTTCTCACAGTTCTGGAGGCTGACAGTTCTAGGTCAAGTGTCAGCAGGGCTGGTTCCCTCTGAGGGATATAAGGGCAGAATTTGTCCCAGGTCGGTCTGTGTCTCTCTCTCTCTCTCTCTCTCTCTCTCTCTCTCTCTCTCTCTCGATTGTAGATGGCTTTTCCCTGTGTCTAGTCACACCATGTGCCCTCTATATATGTCTGTATCCAAATGTCCATCCGTAAAAAGACACCAGTCATAATAAATTAGATCCTAACCCGTGACCTTATTCCGGATTCCAATAGCATCAGGAATCTAAAACTTGCCATTGTCTCAGTAGGTACAATGAATGCATCTGCTAGTGCTGACTACCTCTGTAAGACCCTATCTCCAAATACAGTCTCATTCTGAGGTATTGGCCATTAGGATGTCAACACAGGAATTTTAGGGGGACATAGGTTAACCCGTCATGGTTTCTGTGTGCTTTTGTAACAAAAAGTGCTAGCAAGGAAAAGGCTCCTAATTCCCACTCTTGGAGGTGGCTGTGGCCTTGAGTACCTGGTGCCTCCTTTCCTGCAGCAGAGAGAGGTACCAGTGGCCTCGTCCTGAGGTGGTGCTCCTTTCCCAATGAAACTAGCACCGTGTTCATGCCCCACATGTTGCAGCAGAAGCAGGGGTCAGAGGAGATTCTGTGCCATTCAGAGCTTGTGACACATGAGATGATCAGAGAGCTGCTCCGATTCACAATCAGCAGGAGTCTCTCGTGCTAGGAAGTCCCCCATAGAATTGTCAACCCTCATAAATCTTTGATGCCCTCGGGCTTCTCTCCCTCCGGTCTTTGGAAAACAAATTAATCAGGCAGGGAACTGTGTTAAAATATTGCTCCTGCACTAACAATTTTGAAATGAGAGGCCATAATCTGAAATCCATCCCTCAAGACAAGAGAGACAAATGTCAACTTCTCTCTCAGTTCTCGTCGTTGTACTAGTCATCTACCTGCTGTTGGTTAAGGAGCCCTGGAGTTTGACCCAAGTCCTGGTACTCCACACCCCCCTTCACCCCCATTCTAGCAAGTCAGACACAAAATAGCTGTGTTTAATTGTAAAGATCCTTCAGAGATAGCAAAAGTCCTGCCTTCTGCCCAAGGGCTTCTTAAGTGAATTCCTTAGTCCTTGGTCCTTGGAAAAGAGACGCTTCACTTCTGAATCTAAATATTTATTGAGATGCAAAGGTAGGATATTTGGCCGCTTCTAGTTTCCTTCCAGCTATAAAGTCCCATAACGGAGTGATTTGGTTCTGTTTGTACTGCCATTACCTGATTTCTACAGCAGTAGCCAAGGCATTCATTGGACCTCCTGAGACAATGGCAAGTTTTAGATTCCTGCTGCTATTGGTATCCAATACAAGGAGAAATCCCTAGTTTGCTTTTTCACCAAGTGACTTGCCATGTGAAGTATCACCCCATACAGGGATAGATAAGAATATAATAAAATGTAAGTATAGGTCCTTATTTTTAAAAATGAGTTTAAACTTCCTAGAACAATAGTGGTAACTTTTGTGTTTGAAATTCAGGGATCTCTTAGAAAGCAATGAGGTGAACCCAAAGATAAAGGGGACCCCAGAGAGAAGGAGATAATGTTAGAGTAAGGCCCTGTGAAGCTTGGACACAGATCTATGCTCATGTTGTGTGTTTAGACTAAAATGAGGTAGAGTGGGACACGATGAGTTGATGGGCTCTCATAGTGACAGAGGCACTTTGGCCTAAAGAATATGAACAATAGAAAATAAAGAGGATACAGAGTAGGACTGAGAAAAAAACAGAACTCAGGAATTGCTGGTGGAAATGGACTTGGTCTAAAAAAACAAAATACGGGGTCTAGTGCTTACAATAGCTGGAAGGAAAATTGATGCTTTTCTTGGCGACATCTTGGCAAAGAATTCCAACTTGAAAACATATAATGAGGACACCTGGTCAAAGGGAAAAATCCTGCTTTCATGGGCTGCAGGTGACCTAAAGTAGTTCTAGTTAAAAAGCAACACCAGGGTCTGGGGTTGTGGCTCAGTGGTAGAGCGCTTGCCTAGCATGTGTGAGGCATGGGATTCAATTGTCAGCACCACATATAAATAAATAAAATAAAGGTCCATTAACAACTAAAACAAAATATTTAAAAAAAAAAAAAAACTCTCGGGGTCTGGGGTTGCAGCTCAGTGGCAGAACACTTGCCTACAATGTAAGAGACGCTGGATCTGCCCCCAGTATCACAGGAATAACAGGAACTAAGCAGCATGGCTTAATGATAGAATGCTTACCTAGCTTGCTCTTGGTTCACTCCCTAGCACAAAAACAAAATAAAACAGAATAATCACCCATAAGGGTGAAAATATGGAGGCTCATGGGCACTTGGTGAGCCTGTTCAGTGCCCTTCATCTTGGCCAATCTGACTGGTGAGAAGTCCTGCCTTCCATTTCAACTCTGCCCTAAGATTTCCTTACACCACATTCTAGATTATAAGATCTATATTTTCAGAACAGTAGGTAGAGTTGGCCAGGGCAGGTGTTTTAGTCAGCTTCACATTGCTGTAACCAATATTCCCAAGGAAAACAATTTAAAGGAGGAAAAGTTTATTTTGGCTCACAGTTTCAGAAGTCTAGTCCATAGCTGGCCTACTCCATGGCTCTGGGCCACTGGGGCAGAGCATCAAGGCAGAAGGGCACAGCAGAGGAAAGGTGATCAGGACAACCAGGAAGCACTGGGAAAGCCTCACTTGCCAGGGACAACATATCAACCCCAAAGACATACCCCCAGTGACCCATTTCCTTTAGCCACACCCTACTTGCCTATACTTACCATTCATTAGCTCATTCAAATTATTAACCCATCAAATGGACTAATACATTGATTAGGTTATAGCTCTTATAATCTATTCATATTGCTTCTGAACATTCCTGCGTGTCTCACACATGAGCTTTCAGGGACACCTTGTATCCAGTCCATAACAGGGGGTGTCAAGAGAAGAGTTAACACATGGAGGTGAGTGAGCCAAGGAATGAGACCTTGGGAAAGACCTTTCTCACCTTTGATGGGTGTTATGCATTTAAACAAGCCATTTTGATTCCAAGGAGGGAGCAAGCCAACCATAAAACAAAATGGTAAGTTAATAAAAATTACAACTCACAGTAGGCTCAAATTACATGATGAAATATTGATTGCTAAAAAGAATTATTTTATTCGACATAATTTCTTTCCTAATAATTTTCAGTCATTTTAAACTTTTTATTGAAGTGTTTTCAGTCACTAGTTAAGGGTACTAGGCTGTACAACCTTTGGGATTCCAGTTCCAGGGTCTTCACCACAGTTCATGTGGAGGAGAAGGGGCGAGCATATACCTAACAATGTGCTAATTTCAGGGAGGAAGTAGTTCCTTGGTGGTGGTGTTGATGGGGGTTGAACCCAGTGCCTCCTGCATGCCAATTATACACTTGATCACTGAACTTCACCCTAGCCCTAAATTTTGTTATATTTATGTGAGTGTGTTTGTATGTGTGTTGTGTGTATTATGTGTATATATACTTTATTTTCCCCACAGAAAATTTACCTTGTTGAGTATATTGATACACACCTATAGTTCCCAGCCCCTTGGGAAGCTGAGACAAGAAGATCACTTGAAGATCCCATCTATCTCTAAAATAGAAAAAAAGAAAATTTTATCTTTCCCATCTACCCTACAGAGTTAGTTACTCCTATTTTACAGATGAAACAAATAAGGCTCAAAGTATAGGTCACTTACATCATGTCACATGGCTGCAAGCCAGGAAGTGAATACATTTGACAAGAAATGTCCTTACAGGCTGAAAATAGTACCAATTCATCAGGGAATCATGGTACAACTGCTACTGGTTGAGCTGGCTGGTGCTGGTTTTAAATGGTTGACTATTTTAGGTTACATGTTTGTTCACGGCCCAGCTTCAGGGATATTGTCTGGAAATGAGCTTAGCATTCTTGAGTTCAAGACTGTTTTGAGTCGGGTTGTTCTGTTTGGCTTCTCATCTAATCTACCACAGCACTTCGCCTAAGCCCTGTGCATTGGGAGTGTGGGACCCTGTCTTAGTATTGCTATCTTCCAAGTCCCTAGCTTTGTGCTGCGATGTGATTGGAACTTGATTTTGATAAACCCTGAAGTAATTAACATGGTGTGGTCCACCAGAGAAGCATATGCTCTGCTGAGCATTGCAGAAGAATCCCAAGCCTAAAGCACTCCATTTCTACCTGCACATTTTCCAAGCACAAGTTATTGGGAGAAATTGTGAGCTTGTATTTCCAAGTATAAATTGATGTCAAAACTGAGTCTCATATCTGCTTTCTTTCTCTCCATACTCCCCCACCGCCAGTAAGTGACAATGGTAACCACCCAAGCACGTGGATGAGACCCGAATACAGTTGTTGGAGAGAAGTTTCTTCACTCCAGAATTCTCCAAAGGAACTTGGCTGAGCCCCATTACACATGGAGTTAAAATCAACTGGACTGAGATGTTTGCAAGATGTCAGGGGAGCCTTGGTCCAAGGCTGATCAGCTGATGGGATGTGAGAAATACCACACTATTCTGTCATTTGCTGTTGCTTGCCAACTGTGAAGAACTGCATGAACAATGTTTAAGCTGCTTTCTCTACCATTGCCAGTCACTTTTTTGGACTTGAAAGTGCTATTTTCCTACGGACTCTTGCATTATTTCCATTTTGCATGCACCCAGTTATTATCCATAAGCAACATATATAATCTGCTTATATATTTTTAAAAAATTTATCCATGTGAAATGATAAAATATAAATTCTTCTCTTTTTTGCAAAATTATAATCATAGCCTATGTCTTTGAAAGTTTAAATTCGTTCGATTTAAAGATCAGTGTAATAGGTCTGCCTATACTTTATAGAAAACTAGCTTCTATAAATATTTTTTCACTGTTTACTAGTGAAATGAGAAAAGCCAAGCTATTTATAAAAGGCCTTATGTTGTGTATATACATTGTCTTTGAAATATTTGTGATTTAGTTTATTGCTTGTAAAAGAGAAATTATATAATTTATTTAGTAAATACTACTGTAAACTATAGTTTTATTGAAAGAAATAAAATATTTTGTTCTCAATTGTGGCTATTGATTCCGGTGATTTATAGTCTTTACTTTTTTTTCTCCCCCTTGTGGTGCTGGGATTGAACTCAAGGCCTTTCACATACAAGGCAAGTGCTATCCCACTAGGTTATATACCCCAGCCGACATTCTTTTTTCTTTTTCTTTTTTTTTTTTTTTTTTTTTTGGTACTGGGGATTGAGGCCAAGGGTACTTAATCACTGAGTCACATCCCCAACCCTTCTTTATATTTTATTTAGAGACAGGCTTGCTTAGTGCCTCACAAATTTGCTGAAGCTGATTTTGAACTCTTGATCCTCCTGCCCCAGCCTCCCAAGCCACTAGGATCACAGGAGTGCGCCACTGCACCCAGCGCAACATTTGTTTATTCTATTAATTAAAAAGAAATAACCCAGATCCTCCTCATTTCAGATGTTCTGAAATCATAAGTAAACTGAAGCTCATGACCGATGGAAATAGAAAGATAAAATTCCCAGTCCAAAGAAAAGACTCAGTAGCATATTCTGCTCACACCAAGAGACATTCCCAGACATCCAAGTGTGTTAATTTTCACTGTGTTATGCTGTGGTAACACACAATCCAAAAATCATAATGGCTTTTCACCAACACAGTTTTATTTCTCACATGTGGGGACCAGTACAACTCTGCTCCAAGTGTCATCTTCATCTTGGGTCCAGAGCAACCCCATCTGGGACATTGCATGTTTGTGGCAGAAGAAGAGCAGTGGGGGAACAAGCAAAGGAAGGTCATAGAGCTCCACTAACATGCAGCTTAAAGTAGTTTTCTGCTCACACTTCTTAAGACTAGGCAAAGCATTGGCAAGTCCAAAGTCAAAAAGGTGAGCGTATATGTCTCATGTAGGAATGCACTGACTAAGCAGAAAGGGGCAGTGAATGTTTTAAATAATGAATGTAGAGTCATACCAACTGGTTAGTGTCCCCAGAAACAAGGCCCTAAGACACTAGGAGAAAAATCATTAGAAAGCAAAATGACCAAGGCTACAGAAAGACATTCCTGGTGAGTAAGACGCTCAGTATAAAATACTTCAAGGCAAGCTGAGGCATGTCAGCAAACATAACATAAAACTTCAGTAAGTGTAGCCTGGAGCCATGGTTACTCAATGGAAGGAATGGTTAGCCCTCAGAGTTAGCACTGGGAATCTATCCTGGGTTGGGATGTGGTCTTAGTCCATTTTGTGCAATCCCACTAGGTTATATACCCCAGCCCACATTATTTTTTCCTAGAGACTAGGAAATTGTAAAGACAAGAAATTTATTTCTCACAGTTCTAGAAGCTAAAAGTCCAAGGTCAAGACACCCATATCTATTAAGGGCTTTTTTGCTGCATCCTCCCATGGCAGAAAGCAGAAGGTCAAGAGAGTGCCAACCACCTCGAATCTTTTTGGAGGTGCATTGATCCATTTATGAGAATGGGCCTAAACTCTTCCCAAAAGGCCTGAACTCTCAATAGTGTTGCATTGAGGATTAAGTTTCCAACACATGAATTTGGGGGGACACATTTCAGACCACAGTCAATATCAACAGAGAATTTTTAAAGTGAATAAGCATCCTCTGCCTCTCTCTCCCTAGCATCCATACATCCAGCAGGCTATTCTTCCTCTCTACATAGGTTTTCCTATCAGGAATCCTATCTTCTCTCCCATCTGTAAGCCTACTCATTTATCTAAGCCAGGACCTTAAACCTTGAACCCTCTGATTCCTAGAAGATGATGTAGATGGGTATTAATAGAGTCACAACATGAAGGCTATAGATCAACATTAATAGGGCCATGACTCTAATATCAGTTCAATGCCATGAATTTGTCTATGATCCCTGACCCTTCCCCACCCAACCCAAGTCACTCTTGGACAGCCTGTGATTATCTCCAGTCTCAGAACACTTTGTACCTTTTTTAGTAATTGAGATGTTATTCCCAGACATGAAAATGCACAACTATTAATTATATAGTTCAATGAATTTTTACTAATGTGCACACCCATTTAACTAGCACTTAGAACAGGAGATAGAATATTTCTGGATAACTTTAGGTCTGTTCATGTGTCTTCTCTGTCGATAACATCTCAAAGGTAATTTTTTTTTTTTTTTTTTTTTTTAACAACTTGTTGCATAGCTGGTTAGGTTCAAGCAATACTTCTGCCTCACCCTCCTGAGTAGCTGGGACTATAGGCATATACCACTCCACCCAGCCCTACATAACTATCTTTATGGCTGCTAGCATGTATTCATTTTGCCAGTTCTTGAGGTTCATATAATTGGTATCATATAGTATCTACTCTTTATCTGTTTTTTGTTGTGTTGTTCAACACTATGTGAAATTCATTCATTTTTGTGTGCAGTAGAAACATTCTTTTTCAGGGCTGTGTGGCATTTTATCTTATTCTATTCCTGCTGCTGTTACAAAATAACTGGGTAAATAATATATAAAAAATTGAAACCTATTGCTCACCATTCTGGAGGCTGAGAGTCCAGGATCAAGGCACCAACATGTTCAGTGTCTAGTGCAGGCCTGGTTTCTTTTTCCAAGTTGGTGCCTTGTTGTTACATCCTCCAGAAGGGATGAACACTGTCTTCACATGGCATAAAGGTGTCTAGCTAATTCCCTCCAGCCCTTTTATAAAGCACTAATCCCATTTGTGAGGACAAAGCCCTCATGGCCTAATTACCTTCTAAAAGTTCCACTTGTTAACTCTGTTGCACTGTGAGTTGGGTTTCAAAATATGAATTCTGGGGAACACATTCTGGGTAAAAACATACCACAATTATCTATTCTAATGCTGACCTGATTAATGAGGACCACTCACATTACCAAGGGCATTCTCCTGTCCTTAAAGTCAAGTGATAATAGACTATAGCCACATCTACTTGCACAGCAACACTTAGAGTAGTGTTCAATTGATTGATTACTCTAGCTTAGCTGAGTTAGTACATAAAATTAATTATCACACCCTGCAAAACTAATAAAATATGAACTTAGAAAAAAAACTACCTGGGAGCTGGGGCTGTAGCTCAGTGGCAGAGTGCTTGCCTAGCATGTGTGAGGCAGTAGGTTCAATCTTCAGTAGCACCACATAAAAAGTAAATAAATAAAAAGTATTCTGTCCAACTACAACAACAACAACACAATTTTTTGTAGTTATAGCTGAAAAGTATGCCTTTATTTTTTTTTAATATTTATTTTTTAGTTTTCGGTGGACACAACATCTTTATTTTATTTTTATGTGGTGCTGAGCATCGAACCCAGTGCCTCACACATGCTAGGCAAGTGCTCTGCCACTGAGCTACAGCCCCAGCCTAACAACAAAATTCTTTAAAAAAGAATAACCTATCTGGAAGTTTCAAAAAGGTGTGCTTTACCAAAACAAGGGTTAATAAAGAAAGAAGAAATCATGAAATTCAGAAAGGAAGAGATCCAACCTAAGAGGGAGGTGAAGGGATCCAAGATGATAGTAACTACGAAAGAGGCCTAGAAATCCATCAGTCCAGCGTGGAGCAGTCTGGAAGGCTCTGTACACAACTTCTTCAAGAAAATGAAGTTATTCAAGATGTACACAACCAGAGAACATTTTAACTCTAGGAATCCTGGATTTGATAATCCTTCTCCTTGATACTTGCTCATTGGTAGTCCACCAGCTGATCCTCTTTACTGTTTACATAGCAGTTACTAAATGGCAAACCAGGTAAGAAGACTTGTAACATTCAATTCTAACTTTCTCTCTCTTGCAAAATATTTTATGGAAGCCAGGCAGAGTGGTACACTGTGGGAGGCCATCCTCACACATGATTTGAGTTACCTCCCAGGCTGGGCGAGAGGCACTTAGACACATCTTTGTGTTCAGAGCTTTCCCCATCCTTCTCAGGTCCAAGAGTTTGTCCGTGTGGAGGCGTGTCTGGCCACTACCCGGAAGACCCAATCATCATCCCTGACCTTGGGACATTGCCCCCCTTCATCTTTGGATGGGATTTTCCCCAGAATTTTTTGTTCCCCAATAAAAGTCCACTCAGTAG